AAGCATTTTCCTGTACCGTTTAGTAGTAATAGCGTAAAAACGTCATAACTGGTAAACGGTAAGAGATACCACGTCGGTGCAGGGGAACGGGGAACAGCTAAAAATAACAACACACACGCCGAGTTAAAAAAATTTCGAAAAAAGTTGAAAATAAGGGAGAAAAGGGCAAAAGTTTCTGGAGCCCAAACGGTAAAAGACATAAAGTCGAGATCACATCAGAACCTCCACCCGGAACGAACGCATAGGTCTACGCAAAAAAACTGCGTAAAAATTTTTTCAAGTATAAAAAAAAACATCGAAAAAGGAATCGAATAAGCCCAACATGCAACACTTAAAAAGAAAAAAAAAGGGAAATAAAATACTAATATTATTTATTGATATATAATTATTACTACTGCAATACAAGCACGACTATCACTACTCCATATACTAATGTCACTACTAATTCTACTACTAAAACATTTCAACACTTTTAACGCTACTAACACTATGAGATTATATACTTTTTACCTTTAGGTATAGTTTCTTTACTTTGTCGGATTTTTGTATACTTTTTACTTCCCGAGCGTAAGCAAAGGAAGTATTGTAATCGAGTCCGTCGGCCAACTCTCTACTTTTACGTTTTCTCGATCTTTCATGACCCCTAGAAGACGAAGAAATAGGTCTCCCATTTCCGTCTGTCTGTCCGTCTGTCCGTCTGTCTGCCGTCCCGGATTTTTATTAGACAGATAATCTCCGAAAGTACTGGACCGATTGTTGTGAAATTTTGTAGTTTTATTAGGAATATCATCTAGATGGTAAAACGCTAACCAAAATTTGTCTAATCATCCCCACCACTAATGCGATGACGTCATTTCAAAATTGTACATAGTAAATGGGTTTTAAATTGTATAAAATAACATAGTCCTACACATGTAGTTTACGACTCCGAATTGAGTTTTTACCCGAAACGTCCAGATTTTTGGAAAAAAAATCAGAATTATAAAACAACATTTTGGAATTTTATTTTGAATCTGCGAACCCGAATGTTTTGAAATGTTGCAGATGTTTTAAGGCTATAAAGAGCATGATAAATCTTTAGTCAAAATATATTTGGTTATCCCCTCCAAAAACTTGATGACGTCAGCTCAAAAGTTTGCCGAATAAATCCTATCTAAAATGTACAAAATATGATGAGTCTGTACTTGTGATATATCACTCCATTCATATTTTTTGGATTTGCATATACAGGGTGACGCAAAAAAAATTATAAATGCGTAAATTTATGTTACTGATTTACTCAGGAACTACAAAACCGAATGCTTTCAAATCTCGCAGATGTTTTAAGGTTATAAAGAGCATAATAAATGTTTAGTCAAAATATATTTGGTTATCCCCTCCAAAAAATTGATGACGTCAGCTCGAAAGTTTGCCGAATAAATCCTGTCTAGACTGTACAAAATGATGAGTCTGTACTTGTGATTTATCACTGCATTAATATTTTTTAGATTTGCCTATACATGGTGTTTGAAAAAAATTAATGACTGAATCAATTTTATTGATTAAATCAAGAATTATAGAACTGATTACTTTGAAATGTTGACGTTTTGAAGTTATTGTAAGCATGGTAACTTTTTAATAAAAATGTATCTGTTTATCAACCCTAACCTTAACGAATTATTCCAGAACAAAAACTGGATTAAAGTAAAGGCATACATTTACAATTCATACAAAACCAAATTTGTTTCTTTATAATAATTCTATGTTTGTTTGTGTTTCTTTTATGTTTCGTTTTTAATAAAGAAATAATAATGTTACGCTTGTTCTCCTTTATTTGCAACAAAATTGATATTCTCTTTTTGGCCATTTTGGATACGTTTTAAAACGATTATAATGAAGTAGATTTGTTATTTGTTTCATTAGTGTGATTTTCAGAAAACTGAAATTGAACAAACCAATAAAGTATTAATAATAATAATAATAATAGATTAAGTATTTATTGACCCAGCAAACACTTAATGTTTGATATAGAGTAATATATGTATCACATAAAATCCAAGATGCTAATTAATTAACAACAAACAAAATTAAGAATGCAAAATAATTCATAAAAAGATAAAAATTGGTCTAAAGAGTTTAGACAGTACTTCCCTCGCTGTCGGAAACTTGACGACTGCATGCCTATTGTGTTTTTTCTCATTACATTTTTGTAGTGGGAATTTAAAAAAAAATTGCGATGACGTCATCAACATTTTTGCAAGGACACGTATATCAGTTTGGGATAGATGTAGTGTAATACTAAGAATAAAATTATTATATTCTCAAATTTTCGGGAAAATGAATTGGGTCGTTTTGAATATTGATTTGTAATAATCAATAAAATAACGAAACAATTTACTCACGTATACGTATCCCAGGCAGCTGAAAATCGTGTATGTATAAACATTCTTAATTTAAGATGACAGGCGTAACAGCATACTTGAGAGTCAAACAGAGAAACTGTAAACAAAACGACCATCGGTTTTATTGCTTCGACTTCCGCTTATTATATAAAACATTGGGTTTTATTTTAATTCTTGACGGTGAAATTCACAATTGGTTGATTATAAACATGTCTATTTCACATTCGCGGAACCAAGTGAACGCATAAAACAAATGCAGGTCTGTAATGTTAAAGTCGATGTAAATAAGCATGCTACCCTTATGTTTCAACCGAGTTTTTCCTTTAACAAATTTTGTGTCTACCAAATTGGGTTGGTTGGGGGGTAATACTAATAATAAGTGTTGCCTTTAATTTAATCAATAAAATAAATTGACTTCATTAATGCTTGTGATCTATCACTCCATTCATATTTTTTGGATTTGCATATACAGGGTGATTCAAGAAAATAAATGAAAGCGTAAATTTATTTTACTGATTTACTCAGGAACTACAAAACCGAATGCTTCGAAATCTTGAAGATATTTTAAAATTATCATAAGCATGGTAAATTTTTGATCAAAATGTATTTGGTCGTCCCCCCTAAAAAATTTATGACGTCACCCCAAAATTTTGCTGAAAAAATGCCATCTTCAATGTGTAAAGTATGATGAGTCCATACATGTCAGAGCATTCCGTTTTGTAGTTCCTGATTAAATCAATAAAATATATTTGCGCATTCATTAATTTTTTTGAGTCACCCTGTATATGCAAATCCAAAAAATATGAATGGAGTGATAGATCACAAGTACAGACTCATCATATTTTGTACATTTTAGATATGATTTATTCCACAAACTTTTGAGCTGAAGTCATCAAGTTTTTGGAGGGGATAAGCAAATATTTTTTGACTAAAGATTTATGATGCTCTTTATAGCCTTAAAACATCTGCAACATTTCAAAGCATTCTGGTTAGCAGATTAAAAATTAAATTTCAAAATGTTGTTTTATAATTTTGATTTTTTTTCCAAAAATCTGGACGTTTCGGGTGAAAAGTCGATTCAGAGTTGTAAACTACATGTGTAGGACTATGTTATTTTATACAATTGAAAACCCATTTACTATGTACAATTTTGAAGTGACGTCATCGCTTTAGTGGTGGGGATGATTAGACAAATTTTGGTTAGCGTTTTACCATCTACATGAAATTCTTAATATAAGTACAAAATTTCACAACAATCGGTCGAGTACTTTCGGAGATTATCTGTCTAATAAAAATCCGGGACAACAGACGGACAGACGGACAGACGGACAGACGGACGGACAGACGGACAGACGGACAGACGGACAGACAGACGGAAATGGGAGACCTATTTCTTCGTCTTCTAGGGGTCATGAAAAATCGAGAAAACGTAAAAGTAGAGAGTCGGCCGACGGACTCGATTACAATACTTCCTTTGCTTACGCTCGGGAAGTAAAAAATAAAAAGTTTGTCTAAAGTCTAACTAATGTAACAAAGCTGTTCCAGGAGAGTGGAGAGTGCATATGTTGGTTAGTGGATGGTGTATTGAAAGTAAATGTAACTGAAGAGAGAGTACCAATATTTGGGAACATTAAAATGAATTTGAAAGTTCTCATTTGTTAAGTGATTAAGTCATCATTGTTATTTGTTAAAGCTAGCGACCAGCGACATGCTTAAAGGTAAGTTTACATTCAATTATAATTACATCTATTAAAATTGCTGATTATGTTAGAATTATCCCGTAACCACAATAGACAAAGACAATCATAATTAATGCGACATATGATATATGAAGTATGATGACGAAATCAACAATAATGGCTCTACACAGTAAAAAAAGATTGTGTGTAGATTATGATTTTCGGTTTCATGAATAGCACCGATTTTCATTCTGGGACTTGATGTTGATTTAGTGTTAATTTTACAGATGTTGGTGTAATGTGGTACATACAATGTGGTACATACACACCAAGTTTTCGCAACTTAACAAAGTCGTGATAAAAAGTGGCATTAATTTACGTTATTAGGAGACGAATGGTGTGAAATGATATGTCTCGGCGTCAGCAAGTGTTGAAAACGCGCCCAAACAATATAATCGGATACTTACGCCGTGTAGCGTTGACTCACGTTATGCTGCATTATGCGTATTTTGCTGGCGTTCGTCACTTCGTGTTCGTCGATGCCGCGTGAGTTAATATGTCGTGTTTACCAAATGGGTTGCTGTTGAAGACATCACAGATGTAGAATCTATATCTAACGTTGGTATGTATCAAGATACCTAGAATAGTTATATACATTGAGGTAAGTCACAATGTCTTTAAATTGAGAAAACAAAAGCATTATAATATAGATGATGGACTATTGTGCAACAGACGGTTTAGATGGCACGAGTTGTCAAAAATTTGTAATAGTTACAACAACTGAACCGTACGCAGCCTCAGAATAGACAAAACATTAATATTTATGCAATGACTTTGCTTCCGTAGTTAGCTTCGTCTATTTACTTGTATTAGAAAATTAATAGAATTGTTAAAAAACGTTTATTATACTTAAATTAATAGAATTATGTCTTTAGTGAAAAACAAGTTTGGAACAACACTATCCGAAACGGTTTCCTTTGAAGATGAAGAGCATGTCGGAATTGATCTCGATGTAGTCCCTTCTTACCTCCAAAGAAAGGATCCATTCATTAATGTACTAACGTTACAAATGCAAATTGACAACCAGTTAAAACATGCAGGTATTACTTACACAATTTGAATATACAAATTCAATACCTACTGTTTTTTTTAAGAACTCTTAAAACAGCCGACACATGTGTACAGTATTGAGACTGGTGAAACAGATATTTTAACTGAAGCTGGTACTTCTGCGTACTCCGCACCAGGTGATTCGATACTGGTTGTTAAAAAAAAAATTATATGAGCAAGAATTTATTTGAGGAGTCAGTACAAATTGGTACTAAGATTAAGTTAAAAAAAAAAAAGAAAATTTTAGAGACGCTAAATACTGACATTCCGACTCCAAGTACGTCTTCAGTCACAACGTTGAGTAACAACAGGGATGATGGTGGTACCTCGGAATATTAAAAAATACCAATCCTTGAAGTAAGTAATGTCTTTCAAAATAAAATTTTATGAGAAAGTATCTTTTTAAAGGAGTTGTATATCAAAATTCTCAAATATGGAGGCCACTATATTATCGATGAGTATAATGAAAGTGGAATGCTGACCAATAAATCACGTGTCCACCTCGTGGACATTGTAGGAAGGATTATGTTTGACCTGTATAAAGCCAATACATGCAAAGCTATTAAAATAAAGTATGCCGAAAAGTTAATAGAGATATTTCCCAAATTACGAAACCCAGTAGAAGGAGGAATTCCATATGTACTATCAAAATTAAGTATCAATTGCTTATTTCCTTATTATTTTTGTTTTAGGCTATGTTTTTCAATCCCCTAACTAATGGGGGTTATTTATCAAATAAGTTAAGAACTATCCATAGAAACAACAAGGATAAAATTGCAAGAAAAAGAAGATTTCCTTCTGAATGGCACAAATCACTTTCACGTAACAGACAAAAAGAAGAGGAACTAGTAGAAATAGATGATGACACTAAAGAGAAACTTCAATTTTTGATTAATGCTAATTGTAAAACTCAACATCAAGTGATAAAACAGAAAATGATTGAAACTTTCCATGTGCGAAGAGGGAAAAACATTGATATTTTGAAAATGTTTCCTCGATTTACTGATACTCCAGGCTTGGTCAGAAATAACTCCTTTATTTTGCAGTATGTTTATTGGTACTTATTTTTCAGGTGGAAGAGGACTTTAAAGAATTATTTCCGGAATATATACCAAATACCTTTCAAGAGAAATATAGAAACGATCGTGAAAACGTGTTGAAAATATTTCAAAAGGTCACCAACATTCCACTGAATGAGTCTTATACAGATAATAGCATTAAGCAAACAATAGCACTTTCTCGAATGCTTCCTCCTTTACCAACATTTAGACCAGTTTTTTAAATTCCTCCAAGTTTCCTACTATTTTCTCCATTGCAGCGCGAATTTTATACTGCAAAACGTATGATCGACCTAAAATCGCTTCAAAAACGAAATAAAAACATCTTTTGCATCAACTCAAAAGCCAGATCTTAATTCATCCAACCCACTGATGCTTGAGGAAATAGTCAACGAAGTCAATGAAAGGCAGAAGTGCAAACAAAACCTAATCATCTTCGGTGTACCAGAGCAACCCTCTACTCTTACGGCTACAGAAAGATCTGATAATGACAATTCTACTGTTGACAATATCCTTAAGTCTGCGTACCCTGATTTTTCTCCGTCTAATAATTTGGCAGTACATCGTATAGGACGTTCAGATGCTTCAAGCACTAGACCAAGGCCTATCAAGGTTCGTCTAAAAGTCTAAAAGTCTCTTAAGAACAATAACGATTAAGAGAACATCTCCCTGGCTACTGATCGTACACCTAAGCAAATCGCATTTTATAACAAAGTGAAACAAGAACTCAATGATCGTACAGCCAATGGTGAACAAAACTTAAGAATTCGCTATGTCAACGGTATTCCCACTATTTTAAACTAATTAATTCACCCAATTATAACTCTGTACTTCACTACTTATATCAAAATGTTAGAGGTTTAAGATCTAAGGTTACTCAGTTTTATAATAGTGTTTGCGAAAGGGAAGACTATGATGTTATAGCACTTACCAGCTGAGTTTATTGTGTTTAGACAAGATCGTGATATCCATTCATTGGGAGTAACTAGAGGCGGTGGAGTACTCATAAGTGTAAGAAATAAATATAAGGCAACCTCACTGGATCTTTCTTTTATTCAAAATGCAATGCCTAGTATTGACATTAGTCGGAATTAAACTACACCTTGGACATCATTACTTAGTCGTTCTTAACATATATATCCCACCAAAAACATTATCGCAGGACTTTGAAGCTTTTTTTGATCTCATAAGCATAATCGAAGCTCTCTGTAATAATAAAGTACTGATATTGGGTGATTTCAATGCAAGTGACTTTACAAACACAACAAACAGAACAGTAAACGTCATAAAAAATTTCAGTGAATTTTACGGTCTCACATAATAACATTCTAGATTTGGTTTTCTCTAACACTGATTGCAAAGCAGAGACATCCGATTCAGCCCTTGTTAAGGAAGATCCCCACCATCCATGCTTAGGGACAAAAGTCTATATACCTATCGCATTGCCAAACCAGTTTCCAATGAACAAAAATCCCGAGTCATACAACTTTAAGAAATCAGATTACCCTCGCTTATATCAGACGATCTGCAACACTAATTGGGACTTTTTACATCTTAACTTAAGTGTAGATACACTACGGATTTGTAGCTTTTTCTGAGTTACATTATTGGTCTATTTTTTGACCCTTATCTGTCACCGTGGTTGAAGTATTGTTTTACTAAACTTCAATCAACGTTAACCTTCTATCCATCCACGTACCTTATCGCATTTTTCTGTGAATCGGTATTCTTTTATCAGCAGCATATTTTTGGATGTTTCACCTTTGTTTACTCATTTTTATCTACCCGTCACCCTCTTGTTTGTCAAAGTAAGCCACCTTGAAAGGTCCCTAGGTGCAAAGTGTCCCTGTGTGTTCCTAACATAGATTTCCATAATGATCTACCCGAATTGTGACAACTCCGTTAAAACTTATGAAACTAACTTCCAATGTGATCCCTGTCAGAAACATTTACACGCTAAATGCATAGGATTATCTGAAAACGATCTGAAAATGACCAGGTCTAAGTCAAAATCTATCAAGCTTATATGTAATTCTTGCGAAAAAAATTTAAATGCGCTCAGCGATTTAAAATCTCTCATTTCTAACATTCGTGCTGAATTTACCTCTTCGATTGACGATCTAAAAACCACCTTCTATCAACAAGTAAACGATTTAAAATCGATGATAAACAATCACCACCAACCTAATCCTGCTCAGCCCAATTTTGAAGACGTGGTACAAAAGGTTGTAGAGAGACAAAAACGAAGTAAAAACGTCATGATTTACAATGTTCCCGAGCAGCCTGAAATAATGTCTCGTGATGAGCGTTTAATGTCTGAGACGACTGACATCTCTAACATCCTGCAAGTAGCTAGTAATGATGTAAATATCGCTAATATTCGTTTACAGAGGTTGGGTAAATTTATTCCTGGTCGCTGTCGCCCAATTAAGGTCTTCCTTCAGTCTGAAGTGGAGGTATTAAACATAGTTAGAGGCGCTAAAAATCTCAGCACCAGAGATATTTATAAAAACGTTCGGTTGTCTTTCGATAAAACACCTAACTCGGAAATTTGAAGCTACTAAAATCTCAATTGCTGGAAAGAATCAACAATGGTGAAACGGGATTGAAGATTCGACATTTCAATGGTGTTCTTCGCATAATTCGTCATTTAAACTAAATACTGCACTTGATTATGATTCCAATACTCATTTTTTTTACCATAATGTACGTGGCCTGCGTTCAAAAGTTCCTACTTTGTACAATAATATTTGTTCTTCTTTTGAATTTATCGCACTATCGGAAACCTGGCTTTCTGAAGATATATTGAATAGCGAATTATTTCCAGATAATTATTTAGTGTATAGAAAAGATAGAAATTTTGCTGCGGAAGGAGGTGGAGTTCTTGTTGCAGTTTTTAATACATTTGTTTGTTCCGAGATTGATTTATGGCATATCACGTGAACTTTACCAATAATAGACATACTTGGACTAAAAATTAAATCTACATGTGGACTCTCCCTCTATGTCTTCGTCGTCTATGTTCCTCCTTCAATTAACCTAATTGGGCCTCCGTGCCTGTTGGGGGACGTAATTAAATAAATAAATAAAAAACCTCAATGATTTTGAGCTCTTTTTAAATTTATTCAGTGCTGTTGAAGAATCTCATATGGATAATGTTGTTGTTCTTGCTGACTTTAACGTACCAAATTTTTCAGCCAATTTAGATAATAGAGCCACAATCTTGCTCAAAAATTTTGCGAATTTTCATAAATTTTCTCAGTACAATAATATCTATAACAAATTCAATGGCTTTTTAGATCTACTATTCTCTAATCTTCATTGCTCTGTAAAACAGTCGGATCTTCCCCGTGTACTAGAAGATGACTACCATCTTGCATTAAATATTTCATTTCACTTTATAATAAAATCTTCTGGTCATTTTCTTATGAATCCTGATTCAAGCTGTTTTAATTTTCGTAAAGCTAACTTCAAATTATTATACGATTTACTTCTTTCTACTGACTGGTCTTTTTTGGAAAACGTAACTAACGTTAATACGGCATGTTTTGAATTTTATCAAGTTTTAAACAAAATCTTTGAGGTATCTGTCCCTAAGTTTAATTTCAAAAAGGAAGGTCATCGATATCCCCCGTGGTTTGACTCAGAGGTTATCAAAATGCTACGTTTGAAAACGCTTTTTCATAATAAATTCAGACAATACAAAAGCCAGTATTTTTATGATACTATTAAATAGCACAGATCTAAATGCAAGTCCTTGATTCAATCCAACTATCTCAGATACTTAAACAAAGTTCAGTCGTCACTCACGTCCAACCCTAAGAGGTTTTGGTCCTATGTTCAGACTAAAAAAGGAAAGTCCAGAATTCCAGCTATCATGAAATTTTCTGATCAAGAACTTCAGACACCACCTGAAATTGTTAATGCTTTTGCTTCTTTCTTTAAAAGCGTATACGTCATTTCTGACTCTTCTTACTCTTGTGTTTTAAACCAAAGTGATTTGAGCAACTCTGTAATAAAAATTAAGAACATAACAGAAAATGAAATACTTGAAGCATTAAAACGATCGAAAGATTCTCTAATCGCAGGTGTAGAAACATTCCCAGCTTTATCGTAAAAGACTGTGCATCGATCTTTGTAAAACCTCTCTATTTTCTGTTTAACCTTATTATTAAGACTTCATATTTTCCTGACATCTGGAAAGAAGCGACAGTTACTCCAGTATTTAAAAAAGGCGATCCGTCTATGATTGAAAACTACCAACCAATATGTG